GTGTAAAACATTTTTTCTTGCTTAAAATTACCATAAAAGGAAAATTTTTAACAAAACGGACGCGATCAGGAGAGAGTATATCATAAAAAACTTTATATAATATTGTTAAATTAATTTATATACGTAATTAATATTATTTGATAAATTTTTTTATTTATAATTTTTTAAAATAATAAAATCATCAAAAAAAAATCATTTTATTATAATTATTTTATTAATAAAATTGATAAAAAGTTTCAAAATGTAGTACTTTTTTTTTTTAATATTTGATGTTTTATGAAAAATTCAAATATTTATTATCTGGTATATTGTGTATAATTTTAAAAATATTAAGAATAATATTTTATTTAATTTTATAATAGCTAGCAATCAATATATTTTTAATATTACATATAGTAAAAAAAGTTTTTAGTAATGTAATGTTTGAATCATATAATAGAATTTGTTGGTTTTTTTTCTCAATATTATAATAATAATTTGAATAATATTTTTAAAAAAAATAGAAAGAATTTTTATGAATTAATGAGAATCCATTTTCAATGAATTGTTAAAATGAATTGAAATAAAATAATTAATAAATTATATAATAATTAAAACCAAGGTTAATTTAGATTTCCAATTTTAACTTATATATCAAATGTTTATGTGATAAATCGGTTAGTTTAAAAGGGTAATTTTTTATCAGATAGGTGATTTTATGAGTAAGTGATTTATTCCTATTCTTCTTCTTTCTTCTAATCGAAATTAAAGATGTTGGTAAGTTGCCATTTCGGGCAAATTTATTAATTGGATCATCGCGGTGACTATTTCAAGACAAACACATCAATCATTCCCCCCAATATTATGTGGTATATTAAATTTTGAAAGAATTGAGTAATGCGTATATACTGTAAATAATACAGTATATTTTAGTTTTGAAAAATTCCACCAATCGGAAATTAATATTATTAGTGCAATTTGATAAATTATAATATGAAAGGTATTTAAGACTAGAATGAATTCTCATGTACTGTGTAAGATCATACACCAACCATGAGGCTGGAATGCGAGCGTGGATGTTGAACACGTGCGGTTACCGGCAAAATTGTTCTTTTTTTCTTATGTAACTTGGGTTAAAAATCGGGACGTTGCTTTTGCCGGCGATTGTACATTATTCCCAAAATGATTATGGAATTGTTCATTCTCTCGAAATTTGATGCAGGCAACTAAGCCTATAGTTTAAAATCGACAATTACGAAGTAAAATACAGTAAAAAGAATCTTTTATGCATTTCATCGTGAAACCATCTTGAGTATAAAAGCGATTCCGAATCTTTAGAAATTATCTAAAAAATTCAACTCAAATACCAAGAGGGTTTAAATTCTCGTCACAAATAAGTCATCAAAAAAAAAAAAAAAATCAACTCAATACAACAATGAACTCAAAAATTTTTCTCGTGTTAATAATTGCTATTTTCTTTAGCGGTTTGGCAACGTTCGTCAGCGCTGCTGGTTGTCCCGACGACCCACCTTTTTGCGCCGGTAATTATTTTATGTTTCAATTATTAAGTTTATGCGTACCTAACACTAATTTAAAAACCAAACATTTATTATAGGTACCGAAGTATGCATCTTTAATAAGAATACACAAACCTGTACATGTGCTTGCTGCAACGATAAAGGAACAGATTGCAAACAAAACTTTCCCTGAAGAATGCTCGTAATAGTATTAATTACTTAGAGGTTATTGTGAATGGGCTTCATATCAGGATAAAATTTAAATTGGGTTTTGTATTGTTAGAAGTAAAGTATAGAGAGATTTGTACTATCAAGAAAACGTATCTCTTGAGTTTATTCTTATCGCACTGGTCAATTTTCTAAATAGAATCAATTCAGAAGTTTTTTATCTTTATTAATAAAACATTATTATGATACTGCGTGGATAAAAAATAAGAACTGTTGTATAACACGTAATTTATATTTTTGTATCTTCAGAGGTATGCATATAACTGTTGATAGCACACGAGAAAAAAACAAGAGACAGACACCTCCCAAAAATTAGTTACTAAAAATTGATTTTATACTTACCTACGTAATCTTACATCGCTCATCGTATCATTTATCTGTCAAACTCGCCAAATCTATTAATAATTAATTTTAAAAAAAATGGTATTTCCTTTAAAATAAATATTTGTGTTAAAAAAAACAATTAATTTAGAAATGTAACCGATGAGTCTGAAATCATGACCAAGGTAAGAATTTTTAAGGTTTTCGGCTCCTGGGGGCGATTTCGATTTGACCAGCGTCGGATACAGTACTTGCTGACTTTATCGTTCATTCCTTAGGAATTCTCAATTCACTCGCTAGAAAATTTATAAAAACAAGTTAATGGATTATTTTAAGGATTAAACTTTATTAAAATTAGATTTTTTAACATCTTACTAAATGTTTCGAATTTAATAATAAAATATTTAATTTAATGATCAATTATTTTGCTTAATTATAAAGTTTTTTTATTTATGCATTTTTTTCCCATAGGAACTGTTTCAATTAATGTTTCGAAAGGATCTCGATAAGATGCAGGGATTTGATCAGTCACTTCGATATGATTAGTGGTGTATTTTTGGTTTAATGATAAATGATAAAAATAAAAGTTTGACTAAAACAATTACAATCTTCAAGAATTAACATTACTTATTAGATGATACGATATTTAAAAATTTTTTAAAATTATTAAAAATCACGAATTTTTTTTCTTCTTTTTTTCATTTAATAAGAAATACCGATTTCAAGAAGCAATATCTTTCTATTATGATGAAATAAAAAAATTTTTATAGAAATAATTAGTGAAATCCTTTACGACTTATGGATTTTTCGAAAATATTAATTGCGTGCAGGAATAACGGATTTTTTAATTATCAACCTTCGACTGAATATAGTAAATTATAACAGAACAATTGAAACATGCAAAGTGGACTGGTTCTCTATTCAATTAACTATTTTATGCATTTCGCATCAATAGACAATAAAATTATTTTCTTTTTGTCCCTCACTTATTATTAATTTGATCACGACCGTTTCTTGTGTCGTTGATACGTCATGATGCAACGGCTCCCCTAGTATAAACTAAGCAGACAATATGTGCTGCAGCTAACATCATAACATGAGTAAGTGTTAAATCTTTATAAAATCCTTCGTTTCTGTTTCAATTCACCCAAAGCTATCCCCGAAAAAAATATCAAAAGATAACAATAATAATGAAGCATTTTTTATTCTTTCTATTATTGATAATACTTCTGGCTTCAGGCATAGATTCCTTTTCAACGAACGAAAAACATCCGAAAAAATGCGTTGGAAACAAGATTGGAACTATCACTAGTAATTGCCTTTATTTTTTCTCTTTCCTCTAAAATATGTAATGTTAAACTATTAACATTGTTGATGACAAAAAAAACACAGGACAACCAAATATCAAAGTTCCCGATGATATTGCGGTTCCTGCAAATAATAAATTTGCATATGCTTTATACCTTGCCGGATCTTTAAACTGGACTTGTGCTGCTTATCCCAATGGGACGGCCTTTTGGAATAACTGTAAGATTTACTTTTTTATCTCACGCCAGTTATTCACCACAATTCATATGCCTAAATAATCACCGTATTATATTATTCCTTTATTACATTGCAGCCTACGTTGACGCATATATAATAAATGATCGAAATAATTTTCAGTTCGATGATTATTGCATCATCGGTCA